TCGGACTTAATTTTGCCAGCATCAGACGCGAAAACGCAGATCATCAAATACGTACAGATATGTATTGTTTAGTTAAGGGGCGTTTGTCAAACAAACTACCCTTTCTTTCTTTCAAACTTTATACTAATCTCCTCAAGGGCCAAGATATCTCCTGTGTAGGATGCTACTTCTGCTCCATTGTCCTCCAATACCATTTCTCTACTAGGCTTTCCGAGTGAGGCTCAATGTTTCCCCATTTCATAAAACGGGACACCGTTTTGGAGCACCTCCACGTCATTTTCATCACATCGCAGATGTTGCACTGTGATTCGGTATTCCAATTCAAATCCGCATTCGTTTATTTCTTCTCAGCATCAAACTTTTTTTGATATAGGTTGTTATCACTCTGGCGAAACCCCGAGCATCATAAAGGGTATGGGGCATATACATTAATACTTGTGACCTCCAAAATAAGCTCCCTTTCGACTTCCCCCCTGACTGTTGACATTCCTCTCTAGAACTCCAACGTTTCGTCTGCGACGACGAGGTTTTTCGGTCCCCCCTGCTTGCATTTCGTGCCCGCTTACGCAGCCCCTATACTCGTTCATTCTCCTCCATCAAAATTCGGAAGATATCAGCTCACTTAGCCTTTTGCGACTAAAAAAGATGGAAGGATTGGATAAATTACCTGATTCTTCTACATCCAGTGCTCAGCACAAAGGAAGATCTGCAAGCCTCTCTGCCAGCATCAAAGGTGTCTTATCCAAGCCACGAAAGGAATTTCGTAACGACACGTATATTCATCCTAATCCCTCAGGTTCCAGCATGTCAGGGCCTTCTTCTTTGAGCGACAGTCGATCCCATAAGGAGGAAGATGTAGAGACAGCTCATGATGAAATCAATCGTAGTGAGTGATTTTCATTCTTTTTTCTTTCAAAAACTACACATTTCAACAACATCACAATTACGATTATGACACTTTACAAACAACTAACTTTATCTCCGATCTTGAAGAAAGCGCAACGTCACTCCAAAGAGCAATTACTACGACTAGTAGCAACTCAGGCACTTCTCGAGATTTTAAAAACGCTTCTTCTTTAAGGGTGGTTGGACGTGGCGGCCAAGGTTCACGACCCCGACAGACTAAAGGAGAAGCCAGCGGTGACAATCACGATGCGTGGGAGCCATCACATCCGACCAGTGCTCAAGGCATTGATGATCATTTTACGAATGCGCGTGTTACTCAATCTTCGACTTCAAAAGATGGCGTCCGGGTCGTGGGAAGAGGAGGCTATGGTTCAAAACATAGGACGCCTTCTCTGCCATCACAGCCCTTAACTTCTGTCCCTCAAAGTCCAGCCATCACCCCCAAAACTCCCCAATCAACTTCTTCAGCTCAACAAATCAGACCCATCCGCCTCGGAGGCAGAGGTGGTGCAGGTTCGCGCCCAAGAGCGTCATCATTAGCCGACAGTAGCAGTCACCCCGACTCAGGGATGAAATCAATAGTCGCATTAAAGATCCGACTGAAGGGGAAGCGTAGATCCAAAAATTCCAAGTCTGACGATCTAGCAAGTCCTCCGCCATTGTCTCCTATCCTCCATTCTCCAAAGAGTTCTTTACCTTCTCCGATTTTGACCGAGTACCATCATCGTCATCATTCTACATATCCAGTTCCTAGAGTTATTGATACCCAATCATTATCACCCAGCCATTCCGGTCCGCCAACACCCACACAAGCCTCATCATCATCAGCTCTCGCGTCTCCATCATTCTCGTTCGATGATGCAGGAACGACACCCCCCTCATCCTCTAGCTCTATACCATCCAGATACGATCACAGCTCATTAGGACCTAGTAAAGCCGAACGAGCTCTTGGCATCACATCCCTCGGGACCCTAGTAGATCATCATCTTCCTCACGATTTATCCTCCATCAATTCTTTCCAGATCGATCCAGCTGACTTCGAGTCTATGCGATACTACCGACGTGCAAGCCTGCCTCTTTCGACTATCGGTTCCTTCATACGTGCAGAAAACGTTGTTTTAGATAGCGACGACGTAGAGGGAGAAGATTGTTGGATTGAAAACAAATACGAGTCAACGTCCGACAAAGAAGGTGGTTCATCTACTCCGGTTTCATCCATCATGTTTGCGGACCGTCCTCCATCACCTCAACCCCCGAAACGCCGGAGAAGTGCTTCAGCGTCTCTCGTCGATGCCGGTACCGGATTGGTCTTATTACGATCAGCGGCTCATCATCGCCATTCTGCGATCCTTCCTCTAGACAATTACTCAGATTATACAAACAGTCCAAGTGAGGAAGTCGGCGGTCATCTCGACGAGAGCGCGAGCTTCGATTCGTCTTTGTATACATCCGATCAACCTTCTCTTGATCTCACTCCCGACACTCCTCCTGACACTCCTCACATGCTACCTTCACCCGGTACCCCAGTCTCCCCGATGATTTTCTCAGAGCGACATTCCGTGTTTTTACCCACCGGGTCGAAGGAAAATTTACAGCTCCTTCAAGTTCGTGATCCCAGCGCACTCGATCTCAGCGCGCCAACGCTACCCACTATTCCTAGCAGACGAAGTCTCCGCACAACAGGACCTCCTAGGCCTCCCAAACCGCTTACTCGTGCAGATACCGAACGTTATGTTCGACCTGACTCTCCTTTTATGGACTACAGAACGACCAATACATTCCATTCGACGTTCGATAGGAGACCGAGAGTTCAATCATCTAATGGGAGGTCCGAGCTCGCCGAAGGATGGAGTGGACAATGGAATCGCAACGATATACAGGATGTCATTGACTCTCTTCGGATGCTAAAGTAGTTCGTCACTAGATGTCCAGTGTGTAAACTGATCCGGCATACTTCTTCGAACCCGGTCTCCATGCATTTTCACTGATTCGTGTATCGTCGGGTATCACTCACGTCATTTTTTTGTGTACTTAGTTTTGTATCAACCATGTATTTTGACTTGTTCGTTCCTTTTGCTTTCAATTTTTTTATAGCTACTCTGATTAATCACACTCATTGAACTATCAATCTGTCCATCTATTTTGTTTCCATAGCGCTTTCAGGTTTTGCTCGCACGTATCCTATTAGAATACACAGTGGTATTTAAATACATGCAATTGGAGTCCGCATAACCGCACCATCATCGGTAAGTATGTCTTTGGGCGAAGCGAGACAGACATGAGACGTGTGTGAGGTGAGAAAGCCATTAATTAGCCCGACTCGGAGGTCCACCGTGTGCAATGAACTATTCCTGAACAACTCTTAAACTCCTCCCGCGTCCATCGCCTTCGTCGATGATGATCAGAGAATTGTTGGTCTACTAGAAACCACTGCAGATTATAATCACACTCCCAAATTTAGGTCTCAAAACAATTGTATCGTGCCTACAGCTTGGGAACAGCTAGTCTCAGCAAGTCAAGCCACTGTTTATGGTTTTAGCACAGTACCATCATGATCACTCGCGACAGCGCATTGTCATAAGTATATGAAATCGGTCATGTGAAAAATTTCTTCGAAAATCATAGTTATACAGGTGTGTAGGTAAGCGCCACAGATTAGGCTTGCAATACCAAGCAGGAGTCCCTTCCATCAGCGGGATCAATGCATGTCCCCTTCATATAGCAAATTTATCAATTATTTTCAATCAGCAAAAGATATCAACCAGATGCGAAGAAAACAAGGAAGGACTTACAACGCCAGATTCGGGATCGACATTCATGCAGCTGGCTTCAGGGATACAGATATTTCCTACGGACTGTATTTGTATGAAATTGTAAGCTCTTGACATTGTACTGAAGTCGATGAACTCTACTTACCCGGGTGCGGCAGCAAGTCTATTCAGGACAATCATTGAATAATACATTTCACGAATCAGTAACGGTTTCGAGCGGAACGCATTATGCGCCACAAATTTTATTGAGGACAAAACTTACCGCTGTTCCCTCCAAGCCTGATCCGATACAATCAAGGGGGCCGTTGTCGCAAGTAATGAACTGAGCCATACTGAGGCCAGCAGCCATTGCGAAAATAATCAAAGATTTGAGTTGCATGTTGACTATTCTTCTCGGTTAGCAGTTATAAAGCATGACACGAAGTAATAGCTACTAACGCGAAGTAAGCTGAGATTCGAGTTCGGATGGTAAGCTGAGAATGTAGAAAATCTTTTAGACATGTCTTGAGCTTTTATAGGGTTTTGTCAATCACCAAGTGCGCTAGCCTCGGAGAAAGTCAATCAACTAGAGTGTTTCGGAGTCAGTCTAGGATCGCAAGTCACTGAAGAGGCAAATACAGTGGATACGTGTAATCGGTATTTCTAGCTATATCAACCCCTTAAAGCTCGAAAGATTGGGTATGTGACCGATGTACTTTACAACTTGAGATTGCCAAGTCTTCAAAATGCATAACGAATGTGTAGTATTTCTAGCTAGACCAACTCCTTGAAGTTCAAAAGATTGGGTATACCGATGTATACAACTCAAACTTGCCAAGGCTTCAAAATGTATAATGAATGTGTAACATATGCCACAAATCCAGACTGTATCTCTCCTAGCCACTATGTGTCTATTATGGAGAGGCAGGTCTACTATACTTGTTTTGGATAGAATTTCTCTGAAAGAACTTAAGCCCAAGGTAAAAGTTACCAACGGAACGCCCAAACCAATTAGACCAGTATGTGGATATCAATTAGTTGCCTCTTGACCTCTCAGGGTTTCCCTTTTGGTTACTATCCATTAAGTGTAGAGCAAGGAAGTTAATTATTCATTTCAAAGAACCTTGTCCTTGAAGTTAAAGTTTTGTCTCCAACACCCTATAGCTCAAATGTTTCTCCTTGGGTTTTCATGTATTCAAGACCATTTTCCAAAAGTGTCAGCAAAGCCATCAATGGAAAGACAAGTTCACTCTCATTTGAAGGGTTTACTTGGTGGTCAAAGGCTTAGCAGATTTGACCTGAACACCATGGTTATCTGAAGTCAGAGCTATACATGTAGCAAAAAGGTCCTGCCAGGAATCGAACCTGGGTCATGGGAAGTTTTGTATCAAGTGTGGGCGAGGGAAAATCAGAATCCCATGTGATAACCGCTACACACCTGTTGGGTCGGAAGGTCTACCGCGCGTTTGCCTCCACCGTACAGGTGTTGCCAGCTGAGCCTTAGGTTCCCCGCGAGTTGCGGAGCTGCGTAATCTACCTACCTACCTACCTACAGGACCATAGAATTTACTCGCGTAGGAACAATATAATCTGATTGAGAGGTAAGTATGGTTGCAGACTGGGATAACCACACAGAGGTAGCTTAGGTACAATGGTAATCGGTATTTGACTATCTCACTTAAAAGGAATCGTTTTCTGGTGGATATCCAAGTTAAAAACAAGTGACTCTTTTTGAATAGATCAAACTCAAGACGCACCATTCAACGTTCATACGCTAGGAAAACATCATCTCCTACTCTTTCCTTTAACCAACGTAAATCCGTCTTCATCCACTTCAGGCTCATTTTTCTTCGGACGCTCTACAAGCTGAGGCACCGGTTCATCCTCTTCACCTTCTTCATCGTCCGACTCTTCGTCTTCCTCGTCGTCCCACTCTTCTTCATCACCAACTACTTGCTGCTCAATCACCGGCTTCTTATCCTTCAGCTTATCCGCCAAATCCTCAAACTTCACCACCAAATCCTGCTTCCCAGACGTCACCTCTTCCCATATCCTCACGATATCGATAGCGACACTCTCTGCACTCCCATCTTCGACAGAAACTTCGTATTCGTCTTGCATGACCTGGAGCAGAAGCTCCTCGATGTACTGATCGTCTGGTGGAGGATTTTGTTCTTCAAATGCGTCAACTACGACTCCTGCAAGCCATATCCGCTTTTCAGCGGCACCTGGACCGCCCCAGTTTTCTAATACGGCGACTCGTAGCGTTGACCAGATAGAAAGCCTCGCGATGACTCCTCGAGCGAATAGTACAGATGAAGGTCTTGGTGTATCGGTGTTCATCACAGGTAGAGGATCGGGAATGACACAAAACGTTTGGTACAAAGAAGAAATGGACTGAGAAGCTGTACCGTTGAAAATTTCGCTAAGTCACGTCATGGGTCACGTGTATCAGATAAGTAAATCAAAGACGCGTTTCACTTATGCAGGGGGCCTCGGTTTCGTTGGGTGTTGTCCACTCCAAAGCTCAATGAATGATTTTCTTCATCCCGGACAGTTCAGACCAAATTTTTGAATATAACTTATTAAGATTGTAAAAGACAAAGAGAGAAAAAACCACAAAAGAGGGTAGGAACAAGGTACTATTCAGTACAAGTACATTCATATACGCGCGCAATTTTTGTGCCAGTCCATGAATGATAATTAAATAAAAATTATTTCCTATGATGATTACTTTATTGTTGGTCAGCGGGCAAAGCATCATAAGCCGGGCAAAGAGCCTCCCATTCAGGCGTAGGCTTCGTTTCCGCTCTCACGTCGTCGAGACCGGAAGCCATGACCGTCGCGAGACCGGCTTGTAAGTGCCAGAAAATGTGACAGTGGAAGAACCAGGGGCCTATTTTTCACAGAAAGGTGTTCGCGTCAAGTCAGCGAGGATCGGTCTTTCGATGTATTGGCTTACCAGGGTTAGCGGTTGAGAAACGAACGGTGGTTCCAGCGGCTCCAACTCCCGTCACCTGTAATAACAATCAATCGTTGGTCAGTGGGAAAAGTTCTGTATGTTTTGTTCGAAGACTCAAAAAACGTACATCACGCCTGATAGGGTCCGCGGTGTTGATGACGTCTGAACTGTTACTCTTGACCACGAAGAAGTTGTTCTGAAATATGCAGATGGAAAATCAATTGTCAACGATGAACGATTCGTGTGAAATAACTGAGCAGAAGAGACTCACTCCGTGCAAGTGGAAAGGATGAGCTTCGTCATCATCGCTAGATGAATACATCATGTCAGCTTCTGAAAAAGTCTTTTTCTTCGTGGGGTGGGTACATAAGACTTACTTGGGAGGGAAGTCAACTTGAATAATCGCATTCGCAGGCAACACGAATGTGTTCTCAGTGACATTGAAGTCAGCGGTAGCGTTAGCACTATCGTTGAGAATCTTCACGAGGGTAGGAACGATAGGTGAAACATAAGAGACGTTGTTGACGTTCCATTGAGCTTTGCCAGTGGTCTAATAGCATAACCGCATTTCAATCAACTGATTAGTTAGAACTTCCGATGTAAATCGTTGAGATACGTACAACAACGAGGTTAAGGGTAATGTTGACATCGGGTTCAGGTGCAGGCTCGGGGACGAGGGGCTGATGATCCGATTGTATACATCAGTTAAATTCTCTGAGGAGGTAGAAGGTTAATGGGAATCTTACACGGAGGTTAGCCTCAACAAGAGGAGTGCCGTCCGTGGGGCCAAGGGTCATCGGGCCGGTGGGGTCAGCATCGGGTGCACCTTGGTATCTCAAAATACCGCGACTGAGCGTAGCGTTTTCTGCGCGAAAAAAACCCGATTGAGGTAAGTATGACGAAGTGGAGACGAAAAATCTTATTAAAGTAGTACTGACGGTTAAGGTTACGAGTAGGGTCACCACCAACGAAAGGTGCGTTGAACCAATAGTTATCAACAGGCTGGTTAGCCTCGAGGACAACAGAGTAACGTTGGCCGGCGAGCATCTCGACTTCGTCAACAGTCAATGGAGTTGTCGCGACACCATCAGCTTCGATGATCTATCATCAAAAACCCGAAGAGAGAAGTAAGCACCGGGTAAGTTCGAGAACGATTTTATATTCAAGGACCAAAATGACTTACGGTCAAATTGTGACCATCAACGGACATGGTGAAGACGTTACGAGCAGACTCGTTGATGATACGGAATCGGTAACGTTTGCCTTGTACAACGTTGAATGGGACTTCCGGTCCGCCTTGGAAACGACCAACACCACTAGTGATCATAGCCAAAGTCAGTTCCCTTGTTTATCGATTGACAATGAAGATAAAGAGCTTACCTGTCCAAAACGGGTACGATACCGGTAGCGACATATCCAGCGAGGAGGGAAGTACTGGTGTTGTGCCACCAGTCACCTATCCATCATCGATTCGTCAGTCAGAGAAAGCTGGGAAAAACGATACCGGGGCGTGATTCTTACCGACTTGGATGATCTAAAAAGATACATATCAGTAACTCGGAGCATTGTGGGGGAAAGGAGGAGCATTCACCGTGGATTCATCGTCGACATCATACAAGTCCTTCTGAGGATCATCGGGGTCTGTTAAAATAAAGACACAATTCAGAATTATGCTCCAATGGCTGCTATTCGCCCAAGTTCAACTGACCATAGATGATGAGTGCACCACGAAGACCCTATACATAGTATCAAAACTTTAGTTTGTATTCTCCGAACAAATATGAATAGACAAAAAATTCTCACATCAACGTATTGTACGCTCAGCTGACTGTGGTACCAGAAAGTACCAGTCTGTTCACCGAGAGGAAGAGTATATGTGTAGCTCGCATTGGGACCGACGGGGCATGTTGTCACGAACGGTGAACCTTCATTGAAGGCATTGTCCGTGGTAACAAACACACCATCAAAGTCCATAGACGTGCTACGACGCATGCTGGGGTCGTCCTAACGAAAAAAAAAAAGATTCAGAACTAATGATCAAGAAAGAAGAAAAGTCGTTCAGCGTACAAGCAAGTTGTTGACTGTAACCACCAACGTGTCGCCCTTCGTCGCGACAATGGTGGGACCAGGATAAGTTCCATTGGCAGTGATCAGAGCTAAAGTTGAGAAGATTAGAACCATCAACGAAAAGTGGAGTTTTCTTCGGCTCCGCTCGTTACTTACTTCGTTCGAAACCATCCGGAGACCCTTGCGCATTGACAACGTCAAGGGTGACAGCGTTTACGCTGGCATTAGGTGCCCTGGTGGAGACAATAGCACCTAACGCAGGTAGAGCAAAGAGAGCAGAGGCTGCTAGGGACTTCATGTTGCCTTGAGAGCACTTGAAGGATAAGGTTGCACCTCCAATCGCCCTCTGCTTTTGTACTCTCCTGAATCTGAATAGATTCATACATTTCATTGCAGTTGAGACACTAGAAGTCCATACGCGGAGCCGCAAGCTTAGTAACGGGAACATAGAGACCAATAGCTGAGAGGGTATGAGGCATTTTGCCCGATATTAATTCGGTACATGGTCTCATCGCAAAGTCAAAAAGAACGGAAACGCGGAAACATCAAGAGGTGACACCATATCGAGGCACGGCAGCGTGAAATACTTAAATAAGAGGATGCTTTGGATTGGATCCAAGGAAGAGGAATCGCCGTTGAGGGTGAGGAAGTCAGGAAAGACGTGAGACCAGAGGTAGCCTTCGTGTTTACTCGAAATAGATGAAACTGCGCCTATATCGAGGAATGAGTAAATGTAAAACCAAAATAGACCTGCTTTGACATTTATTTACGAAGCACGGCGATGGGGAAAGGAAATCAAGAAGCACGTAGCGGTGAGAGTCTATCCAGCTTATTGAGCCCTAGACACTATATTTCGAACCAATTTCGTGGTAGCAGTCGCGTTTTGGAGAGAGTTCGCCACAATGGCATGAGAAGAACTTCGATGCTATTTTTAGAACTAGCTCTTCCTTTGTTCAAAAACGGCATCATAAGGGAAAATAGGGAGGGAAATGGGGAAACGTCATTCATAGATTATGCCGATGAGCCCATGGAGCGCAGCGTGGCCAAAGTGAATACAGAGGGAGACATTGGTTGGTATTATAGTATCATCCTTCAGGGTGAGTTTCAAGTGATCAAGTCGATAAAGCCCCGTAACCCGGGTCGATCTAGAGAATGTTTGTAGAACGCTTGTAGGCAGCAAGTGGTCTAAAACCTGGGAGAAGATTGAGCCATCGTAATAAGCGGCAATGATGGTAATTGTACCTGTGAAAATCGTGCTCAGCGGGATGAATATCAGAGAAATAATTCATAGAGAATATATACTGCAGGCATTGCTTGTCCCAGGACCATCTTGCTGCGGTATAGACGTAGAAACTCCATGGTCCTGGAGGTGAAGTGTTATTGAAGACCAGCGTTTATCAAAACGCATTT